GTTGTTGGCTCAAATTCTGCTCCCTACAAAACATTGGTATAGGTCACAGGTTGCAGATTGGTGTGTGTCCATGGGCAAGAAACACCTCCTCGTCCCACTATCTGTGTGTGTGTGTGTGTGTGTGTGTGTGTGTGTGAAAGGTTGAGGTCATCTCACAGAGGAAGACAATGTAAAAGTAAATACAAATATGTCTACAAATGCAACCATTTACTTTATTATTACATTGCTGTGGATCTATATTTCTCCCTGAAATCCTCAAATCAATCCTTATGTCACGATGTACTTTGGAATAAGGCCATAGAGAGACTTGTAACAAACAGAGCTGCTTTAAAGTCTATTCTCTGAGCCACAGGAAGCAGAGACCTGAGACCAGGACTAATGCGATGGTACTTCCTGGTTCTGGTCAGGCAGCCAATTATACGGCGGCTCTCCAAAACATTAGACGTTTTAAACATACAGTATATCTATAATCACATTGCAATGTAGCAGGTACAGGAGATAGAGACTTTCCTTTGTTACTCCCATCGCCTTTTTAACAAAAACCAGATTGGTGGTGTTCAAAAGTGAAATACTTTGAGTTCTCTGTGGGGATGACGAATCGAAAAAATAACAAAGGGCCTACACTTCTACAGTCCCCGACCCAACCTTGAGGGGTCACAAATGAGGGAAGACAGCACCTCTACAACCCCAGACTTTGAGTTCTCCATAAGGATGACGAATCAGGAAAAAAAAAATCACTTGTCAACAAATATAGCAGCCCGACGGCGGAAGAGGCTAGCCGCTATGGTTTAAACGCATATTCAATTTCAACCGTGTTTGCGCTGAGGCCAAAGTCACGGTGACCTGCGGGAGCTTCCTCTAAAAGCCCCACCACAATCGTCTAAGAGCGGAGCATCTTGGGAAATCTAATCTGAGACGATGCTGAAATAGAACATAGGTATTTGGGATATTACCACTTCTGTCGGCTCTTGACCTATTCTTCAGTTTTCTCTCACACAACTAGCAATTTGCAAAGTGATTTCATCCTGGACTATACTTATTGTCAAATTCTCTTTGATAGTAATAATTTCTTATGAAAATGTGAGATATCTGCACCGGCAGCTGAATGAACAGAAGCAGGTTCTTGATGCTTTTTATTGTTTTATAATAAAACTAAGAATTTATGAAGGTGTGCTCTTGCTGCTGTTGTGTTGTTTGTGTACAGTGGTCCCTTGTTTATCGCGTTAGATGTTCTAAAAAATATATATATATTTTTTTTTAAACGCAAAAAGTGAAATCATTGAATTTGCAGCTTTATGTTTTAAGGCTGTAAAACCCCTCACACACACTTTATACACTTTTCTAACTCGTGACTGCTGAAGTGAGAGAGAACACAGAATCAGAATCAGAATCATTTTTATTGCCACGTAAGTAACAGGAAGTCACAGACTTGGAAATTGCTTTTGCTCAGTGCAACAGTCAGAAAGAGATAATAAAAATAAAGAATAAAGAAAAAAAACACTTCTAAGGAATACATTTAAATTTAAAATAGAGTTACAGTTACTATTTACCATAAACAAGTGCACATGGTGCACACAATGTAAGGTGACAGCAGTACAGTGAAGTAAAGTGACGTATGATGGGCAGTAAAGTGACTTTATAAAGGGCGGGGGGACAGGTTAAGAAGTGTTCAAGAGTCCAACAGCAGAGGGGAAGAAACTGTTCTTGTGGCGGGAGGTTCTAGTCCTGATGGACCGCAGCCTCCTGCCTGAGGGGAGTGGTTGGAATAGTCCATGTGCAGGGTGAGAGGGGTCAGAGTGAGAGAGAGCAGAGAGCCCAGAGAGAGAGACCAGAGAGAGAGACCAGAGAGAGACCAGAGAGAGACCAGAGAGAGACCAGAGAGAGAGACCAGAGATAAATCAGAGAGAGAGACCAGAGAGTGACCAAAGAGAGACCAGGAAGAGAGACCAGAAAAAGGGACCAGAGAGCGACCAGAAAAAGAGACCAGAGAGAGACCATAGAGCGACCGGAGAGAGAGACCAGAGAGACTAGAGAGAGACCAGAAATATCAGACCTATGATATCAGACCTATGGTTGTAGGTCTGAGCGCTGCTGCAGCTTTCAAAAGCCATCATTTGTAAAAAGACAAGATGTTTTGGTCTAAGGTGATGATCCAGGACATTCATGGACATTGGTCCTCCACTCCCTATGGACCAATGGCTCCTATATGTTTTTTCATTATGTTATTATTGTTATCTGATCAACTGTTGGTGAAACGACAACTTTTGTGAACAGCTGTTGTGATTTTGTATGAGACACAAATACATTGAATTTGATATAAAAGTGTCACAAAAAAAAGAAATAACGTACTAAAGTCACACCCAATTTCACAGGACGACACAAAAGAATCCACCTCAGACACCCCTCTCTAAACATCCGTCTTATCTTGTAGACACAGAAAGCATTTGTAATAAACATAGATTATAGAATCCTTGTTTGCGTTTTGTCTCAACATCACAATGACCGTGTGCTATTTAAAACCGTCTGCTGGTAAAGACCAGGCCAGAGAGTCAAACATCGCAGCTGGGAATAAGAAGTAATTGATTTGGTCGACAAAACGGCCCCAGAAGAAACCTGGGATCAAAAGGACATTACGAGCACCGCAATTTAATTTACGCCACAAATTGCCTTTTAGTTTCGGCAACAGACTGGTGTTCAGCTCTAATGGAGAAGGAGGGAGGAAAGTGATGCATTGTGGGAGACTGGCAGCTAAGGCTTTTAATATGTAAGATCCACAATCATGAATGATTCACTTTTGGGTTGTAAAGCATTGACCACAAGCAAAGTGGATCCTCTCTTCAGTTAGTTCTTAGATTACAGAAAGAGAGGCCAGCGGGAGATCAAAAAGAGAGACCAGAGGGAGTTTAGAGAGAGAGAGACAAGAGAAAGAGACCAGAGAGAGACCAGAAAGACCAGAGAGAGACAACAGAGGAGAGAGAGAACAGAGAGAGAGAAAGCAGCCAGTGAGAGACCAGAGAGACACCAGAGGAGCGAGAGACCAGAGATATAGACCAGAGGGTAGAGAGAGAAGGAACAGAGAGAGAGACCAGTGAGAAACTAGAAAGACACAAGAGGGAGAGACCAGAGAGAGGGAACAGAGAGAGACCAGAGAGAGCCCTTTGAATTAATCACTGAGGGTGCACCCCAAGCCACAAAAGTGTTCTTCTGAATTTAAGTAAAGGTAAGCGTCATGTTTTACCAGCGTTTAAAGAAAGTAAATCTGTGTCATAGAAAGGGACCACTGTGTACTTTATTACTACTGCTAGTAACTATTAGAATGTTGTGTTTAATGGTTTGTATGGATGGATGTGTTTCTGCTGCTAGACACCTACATGCACTGTATTTATAACTGATGAGAGTGATGCAATATGTCGATACAAAAGCAGTGGAATGCTTAACGGCTAAAGTATACCAAGCTTGTTTCATCATATTCACAACCGACAGGAAATGTGCATAGAACATTTGCAGTACAACATCAGATTACACAATGTACATTAAGAAAGCCAATTGAGTGTGTTAAAAGCTCAGACCTGTGCTCCCATCATGCACAGTAGGATTACAGCCCCAGATGTGATGCTGACCCCGGAGCAGGCCCTCGGCTGGGTCCATCTGCCTCTACATAAAGCATCACACACAAACTACTACTGGAGTGTTGTATGTACAGCTATGTTTTAAGTCTTGTACAACGTCAAAATGTCACAATAGCATTTCTGTCAAACCTAATAAACATATTCACTTTCTGTTCAGTGTTATGGTACATTCAGACTGTCGGAAACTTGCTGACACAGTGATTCTAGGGCCTGTGCATTTCAAAATACGTTGGAAATATACAGAAACCGAAAGAATTTAGAGCAATGGCAAGTTTGTCCTGACATTTAGTTAAAGACACTTATTCTATGATGTGTTTTATAGTCAATCTCGGTCTTTCATTTTGGTCAAGAGCCACATCACAACACAGGATATACTTTTATATCAAGCATAATTTTCTCAATTGAAAGTTCGTCCAATCCAATTGCTTATGAATGTCTTTTTTTTTCTTTTTTTTCTCGTTTTTGTATTGGCATTGTTCTTTATGGTGTACATTGCACTACTGATTATTATGTGCCTAAAATTATAACTAAAGTTGAAAAAAAGAAAAAGAAAGATCGTCCAATCAGAGAACAGTGGGGGTAAGAATGGGCGGGTCTAACCAGTGCTTGTTGACCCTGGAAAAAAAATCTCTCTCTCTCTTCACAAATCAAAAAGTAATAGACAATAACTTTGAATGAATGCCTTTTAAAAGTACAATACAGTGGTCCCTCGGGTCAACCTCAGTCCTCGTTCCACGGCCTGTATTTCCCTCTCTAAATACCTTTTAGTCAAAATCCCGGTGTCAAGTCAAGTTGATCCTCTTTAGTCCTAGTTTATCATTTCAAACACTGCCTGCCTCCAAGCAGCAAACTAGTAATTCTTATGAAAGTATTACTCGATGTCCATGTTGCTCTTCCTCCTCTTCCTGGAGTGGCTGTGTCTATAGTGACTGCTTTCTGATTGGTTGAGAGCGGTTTTTGAAGCATTTTTACCGGACCAGATCCAAATCTTGCTTGCTAAATCTGCTCATAAGTTAATTGAACTTCTATACAACTCCTATTGGCTATCAAATATACTTTACTCTCTTACTCTACAACTTTTGCTTTTTTAACATCACTGGTTGTGGCTGAAAAGAATAAAGACATTTAATTAATTTGATTTCTGTTCAACCCTAACTCACAACAGTTATCTATGGAGAACTTAACAAAGCTGTTGATTCGCCAGCATCAAGAGAATCAAGCAGTTCAAACACAAGAAATGCGATGATATGAAACATACAGAGCCATTGGTCCACAAGGGGCAGATAACTGTGAAAAATGTGCATAAATGTTGTTAAATGTCGAGTGTCCATAAAAAACGGCCGATTACCTGGACTTCTGTCAGTGGGGCTGATGGCGATCCAGCGGGGCAGCCGGTCCCCAACGCCACACTGGGCTGTACACTCTGTCATCTCCCTCTCTTTGGCCTCAGTCCTCCTGGGTTCTGATCTCCTCACCCCTCTCCCCCTCTGCCCCTCTGCCTGTCTCTGGCTGCTCCTCTGCCTTTCACTGCTGCTCCACGGGACGTTTGTTCAGCTGTGTCTCTGCTACCAGTGCATTCATGCCGAGATGAAGGGGACAGCTTACCCTTTTAATCTGAGTTCTGGGCTGCACGTGAGTGAGGGAGAGACGGAGAGTGCCCCCTTCCCTCCCCACAGCAGAGAGGCACTTGGGATGGGCACAAACAAGGGACAAAGGATCAATATGAAGAGCCTTGAAGGAGACAATTCTGGACAGATGATGTGTAATGTCAGCCATGTGGATTATAGACATTACATTAGAAGAATGAGATTTTTATTATATATTATATGGTTTGCAAAAGTATATCTGACCATCTATGTCAATGTTGCGAATATATTCAGTGTTGTTTTGAGACCAGAGAGACTAGAGACCAGAGCGAGACCAGAGCGAGACCAGAGAGAGACCAGAGAGAGACCAGAGAGAGACCAGAGTGAGAGACTAGGGACCAGAGTGAGACCAGAGAGAGACCAGAGTGAGACCAGAGTGAAACCAGAGTGAGAGACTAGAGACCAGAGAGAGACCACAAAAAAATGCTTTCATAGACCTTTTTGTGTATGGTCAGCTCTTTATTAAGTAATAAAAAATAGTATCAATAATTTGACAGAAACTATGACTTTGAAAGGATTAATCTACTAAAACTTTGTCAAAGCAAACCCTATCAAAGCAAAACATACCTTCCACCAGGAGGAAAACCTGCACAGACACACATGCAAACTCCACTCACAAAGGGACACAAACCCAGGACTTTAGATTGCTACATTCTTATGGGTGGTAGCTTTTGTGGGTAGTGTTAACCACTCAGCTAAAGTTTCATTTAAGCCAAGTACAGTTCTGTATGTCGGCACATTGTCCCTTGCCCAGTATTGGAACAATTAATACAAAAGACCACAAAAGGTAGTTTATAGGCCTACTTTGCCTTGGCCTTGTATAAATGATAATGATGAATGAAATCATTTAGATAGTTAGATAGATACTTTATTGATCCTCGTGGAAGACATTGAAGTGTCAAGAAGCAGCAGAAACACAAATATACATACAAACATATAAATAGTAACTCTAGAAATTACATCAAAATCTGGTCTGCTGTACTTTTTACAGTGCAGAGAAAGAGACCTGTGAGAAAGAGAGAGACCAGAGAGAGACCAAAGTGAGTGACCCGAGAGAGGGTGTGTAAAAATTTAGAAACGGGAGCAGAAACGAGAGCAGAGGACTTTAAGGAAAATGAACTGTGAGGGAAAGATGAAAACAGAGCAGAGAAGGAGAAGGAGACGCAAAATGGAATAGAGTAGTGTTGATTATTCATTAGAGCCTGACGCACACCTGAGGCCTCTGCAGTATTTGTGTCATCTCCCATCGCGGTGTCTGTCCCTCCTCATAAGCAGCTCACAGACACCGGGAGACAACACTTCTACAGTCACAGAGACAACATTTAGAGCTGACCCATCTCCAGATACAGTACGGACGCTCGACTTGGCCCAGACCGGAGCTGGAGGATTTGCCTATTGTGATCGTTTTGAGTGGTAGGGAGGAAACCTATTCAGACACAGGGAGAACATGCAAACTCCACTCAGAAAGGCCCTGCTCCGACTGGGATTCACAAGACCTTGACAAAAATGAATAAATAATCACAGGACATTAAAAAGAGTGAAGACACAAATTCGTCCCTTAAAATTATTTGCAAAGATGGAGTGAAAGAATAACAATAAAATGTCTTTTACTGTCAAAACAGTGCTATATTATAACAAATGTATAATTATTATTATTATTATTATAAAGAAATGAGCCAGACATAACATACACCTGTCATGTCTGTGTTATGTCTTTTTAAAATAGTCATTTTCACACCAGCCACAGTGGGGCGGCTGCGGCTGTAAAGTGCCAAACAGCCATTGTGTCCTTAGGCAAGACACTTCACCCCTATTGCCTAGAATGAGTCTGGTGTGTGCGTGAATGGTTGTTGGTGGTCGGAGGGGCCGATGGCACATACTGGTTGCCTCGCTTCTGTCAGTGTGCCCCAGGGCAGCTGTGGCTACAGCAGTAGTTTATCACCACCGTGTATGGAGTGAATGAAAAATGACATGTGAAGTGTCTTTGAGTGTCCTGAAAAGCGCTATATAAAACCCATGCATTATTATTATTATTATTTGCTTTAGTAATTTGCTACACACTTTACAGAAATTAAAGTTGTGTCCATATATTTCTTCTTGTCTTTTCTGTGTTCCTTTATTGTCTGGGCACATTTCAGACCATATAAAAACTGTGCCACACTTTCTTCCGTCTGGACTAACCTGGCGCCCGCTGGTGGTGGAGGAGGAGGAGGGGGCTCTGACTGAGATTTATGCCCCAGACGAGAGCGCAGAGGTGGGCAGACCGCGATCGCCCTCAGCCTGGGTTTTACTGGAGCTGAACAATGGGTGATCCATCATGAACCCAGAGATTGAACGCCTCTGTTTCTCTGGCTACTACGGCCAATTTAACAAAAGGAAAAGCTTATTTTAATACAATTGTTGGGAGTGGTTTCTGGCGTTTATATATAGCCTTCTAAAAATATAGCTCATTTTCAGATTCCCTGTGGGATTCTGTGACAGGACAATGGCAAGTGCGTCCTTTTATTGTGGCAAAAAACAAGCAAGCCTTTTATTTTTCAACAAACTATGTGCCACTTTTAGTCATTTAAGTTATAGCTGAGACTTGAAGAGAGAGTGAAATCGCCTCAACGCTCAGTCCTCGAGAAAAAACCGTTATATTCACCGACTGCGGATGTAATTTATGAATATAGTCCATAAGTTCAATGCCAGATGGTTGTTTAAAACACATTTTTCCACAAAAATGTGTTACTATAAAATGTTTGATAGTTCAGTTTGGCCTTGTATTACTTGTATGGCACAGTTCATACACAAGGAAACTCAAAGTGCTTTTAACAAAACAAGATGGAAATAAGATCACAGAACATTGAATTGAATGAAGATACAATCCTTCACTGTTTTTAACCTGGGTTTGAACATTGTCAGAGCAGAAGCTTGTCTCGCTTTATCAAGAAGAATGTTCCAGATTTTAGAAGCATAAAGTTGAAATGATGCCTCCCCATGTTTAGTCCTGACTCTGGGCACCAGCAGGAGGCCAGTCCCTGTGCTCCTCAGAGTCCCAGCAGGAGGCCAGTCCCTGTGCTCCTCAGAGTCCCAGCAGAAGGCCAGTCCCTGTGCTCCTCAGAGTCCCAGCAGGAGGCCAGTCCCTATGCTCCTCAGAGTCCCAGCAGGAGGCCAGTCCCTGTGCTCCTCAGAGTCCCAGCAGAAGGCCAGTCCCTGTGCTCCTCAGAGCATCATACAATATAGTTAATAACGACAAAAAAGTTATTACAGGCTTAAAAGGAGAAGTTCAACAAATGTATGAGCACTTACCCCACACAATTTGTCATAATAGCAAATTATGAATTGCCCAGACTTTTAGTTGGGTTAACATTGCTGCTAACATCAAGTAACCTGCAGTGAGGGACACAAACAGTGACAATGGAGTTTTAAACGCAGACAAACCCTTTTCTCTCACACGCCACATGTTGCTGGGAGCGATTTCAAGAGCGAGAAAAAACAAATATGTAAAAAAGTGCGAACAAAACAATTCCAGGTGTGTTTTTGTGGAAGCAATTTGAGTTAGCGATATGAAAGTGTGATTAAAACGGCGCCTCCGTGATGGTGTGTGTTGTCCGTGTAGCAGGACTTCTATAAACGCAGCTTTCTTCACAATCCCCAAAGAGAAAATTGCTTCTGTGAGCCCCCCGCCGTGCTCAAAGTCTTGTTTTGTCTCAACATGTTTGTGGACCGCTGCACGAATAAATAGGCTTTTTTTTTCCCCAGCCGCCTCCAAAAAGTAGTGTTCACAGACTTTGTTCTCGATTGGAAAATTGCTTCTTCAAACATTGAAAATTGGGTTGTGGACTCATTTCGAGATAAGTTGGTATTTCTCAACCTCAATTTAACCAAGACAATGTCAAAAGTATGTTCACAAATTGACTTTCAATCTGGGGAACTTACTAACCACAACTAAAGAATGAAATGTGATGTAATATATACTGTATATATGTAGTAATGTATATTGGTATTATCATTATTAAACTTCATTACAGACACAAGGTCCAGACAAACAAGTCGTGTCAAGTTTCTAAAAGTCAGCATCCCAGAAGAAACAAATAAATACATTACTTACACAATTTAATACTTAATTACCATATTATGCTAAAGTCAGGGGTTTTGTTGATAGCTAGCTTCTTCATCATGCTAAAGTTGGAGATATTAGACTTCTTTCCTATTATGATAAAGTTGTAGAGATTTATGCTGCTTCTTTTCATGCTAGAGTTAAAGATTTTATTTTATTTTATATTATATTAGATTTTATTTCCCCGCTGTGGAACAAATAAAAGATCTCTTCATCTTAATCTTCATCATCAAACTATTTTTCGCTCTCTCAGAAAAGGGAAAAATAAAGGACCCCCCTCACTCAGCTTATCAGCTCACTGCCCAAAATGACAAATAGTGAGTTCATGCGTTTTCGGGTATTTGAAAGTTCAGACTTCCCACGCTGCAAAATGTGATTAAACGCTGCTCAAGCTGGAAAATCAAACTCGGGGAATTGTGTTGAAACTCGGGTTGAAGCTTGGACTGAAACACGGGCTTGGTGTCAAGTTCAATTTCTTATGTGTCAGAGACAGACCAAGACGCTTTTAGTGAATTCAAGCCCAATCTTTCCAATTTTTGGACCCGCAAAACAAGTAACAAATATTCTATCATAGTAGTATTTTTGTTCAAGTGTTAAAGCATAGGGAATCCGGTTGAATAGCAGTTACATAATTAGTGTTATTTGACAGGTCTCTAATGAAGCTTAAGCGGGAATTCAGACTGGAAGATTAGATAAGGTTCAACTTTATTTTCATTACAAAGTCAGAACAATTCAACAAAATGAGGTTTAGCATCTATCCAGAGGTGCAATACAAGAATAGGATCATATTTACAATAGAGATCAATGTATATACATGTGAGACTGAACAAAGCTGCTATTGCTAGTATATACATGAAATACTCACAGGAGGAACTAAGCTCACAACGTTCCAAATCTGCTCACTGTCGCTAATAGCAACAGCATCTGTCAATCACACTCAGCTGCAGCGCCACACTGCCCTCACCTGCGGCAATCAGGCACTATTCAAGCTTCATATCACAAGGAAGCTCCATCCAAGCAGCAGCTTCATTTACACCGCAACCCTCCTCCTCCCCATCTCCGCCTCGTTCCGGGCCAGCTCTTTCATCCTTCTCCTAGCTCCCAACACCAGGGTTTTGTTCCCGCGGGATTTCATCTCATAATCACTTTCCTCTTCCCAAAATATTGTCCTCAGAGTCATATGTGTAACTAATGTATTGTCAGATCACTGCAAACCAATATACAAATCTATTGATAATAATAATAAAAATAATAATACCATGTTTTGTCTGTTTGAGTCTATTGGATACTATGATAACACATGCAGTGAGGGCCAATGCAAAGCACAAGTAAAAACTCACTGGGGACCAGCGGGGAGCTTTGAAGTGAGTTTATCTCAGAGGAACACGATAACGACATGTAAGAGGTACTGTATAAAAAGAAAAGAACTAAGCTCACTACGCTCAAAGTCCTCCCCCTTTTTGCTTTGCGGCAACAGTATGCAGCGATACTCTTTTGGGCGGCACGGTGGCTGAGTGGATAGCACTCTCACTAAATTGAAATTGAATTGAAATTCCAACGCTCACCTGGCAGCCTTCAATCCGCAGCTTCCATTCATGCAGCAACCCTCCTCCTCCCCATCCCACTGTTTTGGCCGCTCCAGCTCTCCCTTCTATATCTCCCACCACAAGGGTCTAGTCCCCAGGGGATTTCACCTCATAATTTCCCCTTCTGTAATCATCATGCAGTGCTCTGTTGGGGTCTAAGCACCCGTACACCAACAATAAATGTAATCTTGCAAATATTGCCTTCAGAGTCGTATGTACTACTTTATGGAGTGTTAGTTAATTACCAACCATTGTAGAATTCTAATAAAGCCACTGTTTTTTTCCAGATCATAATTATTAGCAAAATGTCACAAGTTTTAGAGAGCGCACAAGCATAAGCCTCATTTCCACCAGTCCTGCTCAATTCTACACAACTTATATGTGAAAGCCAAATCATGTCAGACCTCTGAAGCCAAGCAGAACAGGGCCTGATGGGAGACCTCTGGGACCAGTAGGTTGGCTGCGGCTAAAGTCTACTACTTGTTTTGTAGTTAAAAAAAATAAGTAGTAGACATTCACATATATAATGGACATCTTTGAATTAAAAATCTGCTACAAAAATATTTAAATCTCACGAGGTGGAGTCAAAACAAAGACTTAGAGATTGAAAAAAAAAGTGATTTGCTCCATAAATTCCCCATAAATTCCCCATAAATTCAATACTTTGATTTTAATAGTGAAAAACTGGCCCCAAACAGTGAAAGAGTTTAGGGAAGTCTAGGCGTCTCTACTTAGAATGCTGCCCCCGTGACCCAGAAACGGATGAAGCGGAAGAAAATGGATGGATGGATGGAGTAAAAATCCTGACTCAATATTCAACACACTGGATGATGATGGAACAGTAGGAAGTTCAAACCCTCTGTGTCTCGGAACCACGTCTTCTCGCCATCAATCTGCGCCCACTCCATCTCTCCGAATTTCTCGTTTCCAATTTCCTGTCTCCTGCCCTCGAGCCCACTATAGCCCCAAAATCCTGCTCCATCACCGAGCGCAAATACCATCTGGACCGTGGCCCAACACACAAATAGAGAGAGCCAGGACCAGCATCTAGGACCACCGCAAAGTCTCCGAAGACAGACGGCAAAGGGCACCTCATGGTCACAAAGATGTTGAAGATGGATGGAGTAGAGGTTTCTGAATTTTAATTTCAGATTCCTTTTATTTACCATTTGCAGTAAAACTACATTGGAATACATGTGCTTAAGTTCCCAGTGTGCAAATATGTAGGGATTCCAAACAAGGAATTCTGTACAAAATCAAACCCGGAACTGATTGTTTGGACCAGTCTAGATGTTGTTGTGAAAAGACACAGAGGAGCATCCATCGCCTTATACCAACACCAGTTGTGACACGGACTAATGCCCTGTCCCAATTCTCACCCCAGCCCTTCATTTGTTCCCTTGCCCTAGATCTTGCGCATGCCCGTGGGGGTTGTTGGGTGTTCCAATATTTAGGGAGCAGAGGCGAGGGCACTCCCACCCTTTAAAAGGCCCCATGATGCATTACGATAGTTGGTAAAGTACCTTTCGGGTAAAGTAGCTGTCAGGCAAAGCTGTGCCACAGTGAAAGAAAACAGCGTACATAAAATTCCCGGGCGCAAGTACGTAAGGAACGTGTGGAAGC